ATCTTAGAGCACATACCTTAATTTACGCAGTTATTCTTGGTTTAGTTAGTTAAAGTACTTCGTGAGAGTGAGTTTAGTTTTCAAAAGCGTAACATTGTTTCTAAGAGTGTTGCAGAGAATTCACACCACAATACAATATTTATAACTTAAGGTGCATTTATGGTTCACGTCATCGTTACGTCCTCCTCCAAATCCGATTTTTTGATTGGTTAAAATTTTTAATTGTCGTAGTGATAATTTGGTTCAGCCAATCAAAAAATCGGATTTGAAGGAGGACGTGACGATGACGTGAAGCATAAACACCACTTTACCATTACCTTTGCTTAATCTTTGCCTCAAAATCTTCACGTTTCTATACACGAAACAAATATCGGTCCTGTTCAAGGTATAAATCGGAATTACGCTCAGAGCCAAAGTGACCCCACCAAAACAAATTATGAGTATAATAAAGGCCGTGGTGGTAAGTTCGGGGTCCCGTTGGTAATAAAGGACTGCTTTTGTTAAGATGAAAAAGATGAGTAAATTAGAAAGCAGGAGGGAGATGGAGAACAAGGTGAATGCCTTTAATTGCTTGAACGGGGTCGGACTTGGCAGCCATGTTATCCTATTCCATGTTAGGAGTTGGGAGTAGAGAGTGTCGCAGAGTAGATTGAATCGTTGAAGGGCTTTCAGAGGGGTGTGACTTGGAATTTGGTCAGTTTTGAATATTTTCGAACCATGCTTTCTTATAATTGATGATGTCATTCTGGGAAGATTGAAACGGAACATTTCCTATTTTAAAAAAAATAAAAACAGGTATTTATGTCAATTATCTATCACACGAGATCAGTAAGTAGAAAGGCAAAAAGCTCAAGATATGCATATGCTGAAGGTGGGAATACTGTTATAAATCTGGTGACCTCACTAAGGTATTGATTTCTCGATATTAAAGTTGCTACCGCTAGGTAAATATTAAAATTGTACTGGTACGAAAAAATTTGCTCCCGATTTAGTATAATTTTAATACCGAACTATTACTACACGGTATTACTTATCAATACCCCTTTGTTAGAATCATGTATGAATACTGCTTGGTATAATTTTAATACTGCATTACTAACAGTGTACATACATAAGTATGTTCCCTCAAAAACGTATTAATTTAATATTGACAGTCGCCCTCGTCAGGTAATATGTAACAGCACGAACGTATTCTCTGTGTGGACGGATAGATTAAGAAAGCGCACAGAATTATCCAGATTTATGTAGATTTCTGTTTAGGAGAGAAAATTTTGAATTGTGTTTTAAGCCAGTTGTCAGCTTAATGGGGAAAAAATTAAACTATTCGTTTAGCGATGGACTGCAATCTAGTGATTAAGTGAGGTATGTACTTATGTACAAAATGGTTGCCGTCTTATGAAAACTAAAAAATACTGTAATATCTAAGACTGGACTCGTAATTGTTGACAAATTGGAGAGGAATACTTGATTATTATTCGATAGAGGGTTGTACGGAATAATTTATAAAACCTGTCCAATTGAAGTTTGGGACGGGGAAAGTTTCTAAATAAAGTATAAGATGGTCAGATAGAGAAAAATAATTGCAAATTTGACATAAACAAATAAATTAAAAGAAAGTTATCCTGAAGAAAATAAATCCAATTTTTTATGGATTTGTAAGAGAAGGATATTATGAATTTTTTATACCTGCATATTTTAGTAGGCCCACGTGGTATTAAATGTTTCCAAAGAGGTTACTCATTAAAGTGCAAAAGGCCCGGTTTTACTTAATTAAATTGTTTTGTTATATAACTAAAATACCTACTTATATATGTACGTATGTACATATGTATATTTGTATGGACTAGTAAATATATTTAATCACTCCAATATGGCCATCAGGCATCCTTAAACGAATTTTACACTCTTATAGGCAACTGGTATTTAGCCAATACTGGCCGACGTACATATATGACTCTACCGGCATCAGTAATATCTATTGAGGGCTACGGTATAGTATATGTGGTGTATTGTACCACGGATGAAAACTATGACACTTCTCGTGAGCCGTTAAGGTCGGGATGGGGGTGGTTTATGATTTTGCAACATTCACAAAATAACTACTGTTCACCGCCGTTGTGCCTTTGTTACACTGTTATTTATTTTTAATAGAAACCAATTATTAGTCCAATCATATTTATAAAACTTAGTAGAATTTAAAGACAGGGAAGTTCCAATACAAAACTTTGAGACACAGATTTTTAAGTGGACAATGCTTCTTCCACCGAGTCTAAACTGGAACTTAACAAATTACAACTTTTCACAAACTTAAAAGTACTCACTTCCCACAGACAAAGTCCACCCAGTTTTACAATTAACCAATGATTGAGAAGTCTACTGACGCTAGGGTGACACCGTCACAAAAATAACGAACCAATAAGACAAGAGGTGACGAAGGTTCAGAAAGTTCAAGGGAGTACAATTTTACAGATAAAATACGGACAAAATTCTACTTAAAACCAGCCAAGCTGGCACCATTCAACTTACTTTTCATTTTCTTCCCTGTCTCAACATGCCTCTTCAATACTAAAGTCATACAATTACGAGTCAAAATCATGCAAACCATTTCATCATCATATCGCATTAAATCATGTATATTTTTAAAATTAATTATGTAAAACGACGACAGTATATATAATATGGTAGTATTATAGTAGCATATGGTAGTAGTATTTCTTTAATAATGAATAATTGACCATGAAAATACATATTATTGCTAATCCGGTAAGGAATTATTACCAAATCAATACCAGAACGGAGTATGTGAATATATGGGAATAAATGCATATGCGACTGGATGCTTTACTTGTATCCTGATTTTCCGAATAAAATGATCCGGAAATGGGTGAGAACTTGTAACTGGACTTTGATTCTTAAGAAATCGGGGAATTACTTGGCTTGAGTAAGCATTATTTTCTAAGAGTTAATGTCATATTTTTATTAGACTTCTTGATTAAGATACATAAACAATAAATATTTGTTGCATTTTCTTCATAATCCGAAAGTAGAAAACGATATTTGCTCGAACCGGCGTAGTATGAGAATAATAAAGATCGATCACGTTAGTATCCTACTGACGTAATAAAACGCTCATAACTTTAGACACAGTTAATGTAATTTCAATAAAATTGCATACGTTTATTACCAAAGAGTATGGATTGCTACACAGTTAAACTTTTAATGATTCAATTCCGCTGTCTGCTACAGATTGTATTTTCTTCTTCAGATTTCGCATCAAATTCCGACCATAGACTGCACCTACTTTCAAGATGATTTTCGTCCATCTGTTCTTAAATTTTCTGAAGGTGTCTGGCGTTTCCAAAAGCTTAGAATATTTGGATTTATTCAGCTCTCAGAATTTCTCTATAGGTCGCAGTTGAGGAAAATATGGTGGGTATCCATTTTTTGGCACAAATTCAATTTTTTCAGATGTCGGTACTGAGTGACCTTTTTGGCGTCATGGGACCTTGCAAGGTCAGGCCAAAACAAAACTTTATTTTTTTATGATCTTTGATAATAAACCCTTCCAATCCCCCATCAATGCAGAATTGAAGATAAACCTCCTGGTTTATAGTGCCCTCCAAAATGGCGGGATCGGAAACATGACCAATGCTAGACATGCGTTGCCAAATTCTTCATTTTTTTGGGAATTGGTCTTTCTTTTGGACTTTGTCTTCATATTTTACTTCACAGGGGTTGGAACTATGGAAAAAATGCCTTCCTGAAAGATTTGAAAGGTCAGCTGTGACGTGGGGCTCATCGCCCATGATGACCACTTTTCCCCGAATCTTCTTCAACAATTTCTTCCAGCGCGCGTGAATCCCTTCCTTTTGTGTTGGTTTTTAATTTGGTGCTGGTTTTTTTGTCCTTGCTGTAATCCCTAGTTTATGGACTTTGATTTTGCTCAGATATCTTTTTGCAATATTGACCTTACTTGCCGCTGGAGCCATTGTCGTTGATGGATAATTTTTGAAGATTTTTTTTAATGCGATTTTTGATTTTTGTCGTCGCTAGCTTTGCAGGTCGACCAGTGGGGACTTTGAATTTGAGTTCATTGGATTCCTCGTACTTTTTTATGTAAGAGTTGACATTGGAATAAGAATAAGGAGTTCCTGGAGTTCCTTCTTGTTTGAAAAATTGCCAAGTGATTTTAGAATCATTATTTGTTCGATTTTTGTGAAACTCAATCACTCTTTTTTCAACTCTTGCCTTTCAACCCAAGTTTTTCTAGTCTTAGCCATGACTCAATACTTGGTGACATATATCAATGGAAAGCTTATAACTTGGTCTATTCAAAAATATTTTTTTCGAAATTTAATTTCGCTGTGTTCCCGCCTAGCGCGCCTTTGATGGGGCAGTACGATACTATCGTGACCGATGTTTAGTGTAATTAATAATAAAAAGGTTACGTAAAGATTTCATTGTTCCAAACCTCGGGTAAGTTAGAGTTACGAAGAATCCACCCTTTAGCTTTTGTAAAATGTACGTTCATGTACCTTGTGTGAGAACTCAGACTGCATACATACACAGGGTTGCACATCCACACATAAAATAGACTAAAGTATTTATAATAAATACATTTATCAAACTTTAATCTATTTTATTTTCCAAGTACTGTTATGTAGTATTTAGATGCATGGGAAAATGAAGTATGCAATTATGTATGCACATCGATCGCATAAGTAAGTATTTAACTGAGGTCCTGAGACTGGACCATTATTCTCGCGTACTAAAGTATGACATTTTGACATTGGGTAAATACTACTCTTCGAAGTTAAGGTACATATCTTAGATGTACATACCTTAGGGTCATGCAAACATATTATTTAGTATCAAGATATACAGTCTGATAAGTCAACATAGGTAATACAACATATGTAGTGTTTCCAGTGAGGATGAATTAACTCACCTCATCCCAGTTAGAATTGATGCGAGTTGATACAATCCTCACCCCACTTATAACTGAGGACGAGTGAGTTGAGGTGACCTCAATTGTTCTTTTTTAGGATTAGTGCGGAAGTGTATTAATTCACCTCACCTCACTTAATGTTAGGGTAAAATGAGTTGGGGCAAGTTGGGATTTACAACTCATTTATCTATTACTGAACTCGGCTCATTTACATTCGCGTAAGGTGAGCTATTACAAAACTCGCCTCACCTCAGATCATTAGCAACCCTAACATAACATAGTAACCACCCGATCATCCAAGTAATTTTTATAGCTTAAATCTGCACATATTCTAACCAACCGAAGGTATGTCGTAATTTTGCCTTCCTTCATCCCTGACTAAATAGACGTGAATGTATAATTTGTAGTTCGCAGTTTGCTATTGACCACCCAATCTTTATCATATTTCAGGTTGATTTCACCAAAGGTATAGTTACAAGTTGTCTAATTTTTAATAAACTTGCATAGTGCAGATCTGCTTTCAAAATGTCTCATTTCCTGTCACTTTTAGAGAAAAATGCGTCCCAATAAGGTTACAAAGTCCTCTCCGGAAAAACCTGGAGTCACATTCTACACCAAATTTTTCCAGGAATTGATCCAAGAGGGTTCAATAACGGATGGAAACAGCGCCACGTTGCTTGAAATAGATGAAATCCCATGGATAAATTACGAACTCCTCGCCAAGGGACGGGAATTCGTGAAGCAAAACTACGCCCTAGTCGTGATCACAATGTTGGTGGCGGATACGATAGGGTTTGTAGGAAAGCAGATTGCTTCCACTCTGTTCAAGAGCCTTTATCCCGAAAATGTCTGCTCAGGACGATTCCTCTCGACCTATCGGACCAAGATGTGCGAATGGCTTTTGTCCAATTTCAGCAGTGGAGGAGCTAATTCTGAATTTGTCCTGGCTATTCAACGTGTCCGCAAATTGCATAAAAAACTGACAATACACAAGTCAGACACGTTTCTCACGGATTTTCTTAAAACCAGCACTAAAAATACGAGCAAATAAACACAAACGTTTAGTGTGGGACTTTTGCAAAATGCACCGATTTAAGAAGGTCTAAAGTTGGCAAAAATGCGCATTTTCATGAGAAACTATACGACTTTCATCTCACCGCTGTCAGACAACCTTGGTACCTCCGTAGCCACGTAAACTTATGTTTGTACGACGATCAGTTTATCAAATAAAAACATGCATTTTATGTATGTATCTTTGCCACGTTTTGTAAGTTCGTAAGCATAAATTACCTTACAGATGTTCGTAAGTTTCTACGAAAATTCGTTACTTTACGTGGTAACAGAGTTTGACGTGAATTGCCTCATTTTTTAGCGCTGGTTGTATGAAGTTCCGTGAGAAACGGATGTCTAACACGTACATTTTTAGTCGCTCTCCCTTGAAACCGATAATACTACCGGAAGGAATCCAGTACCCGGCAGAATACACAGAACTTCTAGCCTGCATCAGAGAAGACTTAAGATCCGTTGACACCACGGACTACCCGTCCCACGTGATATCTTGGACGCCATCAATGTACTTCACCCAGCTGGACGTGACCTTGGTCGCCTTTGGGATGTTTGCCCCATTCATCGTATACCCACACAAAGTCGGACTTTACACCACCTTCGAAGAGGATGAGGGACTTCAAGGGTACGTCCACATTTGGGCCGTGATCAGCAAAATGTTAGGAGTTCAGGACAGATTCAACTTGGCTCTTCACCCCGATCGAGATTTATATATGGAAGTTATTACAAAAGTGGGAATTGCAAGTTTGAAAATGGCTGACGAATCTGTCATTTTTTGCATAGAAAAAATGATTCAAGGTTTGGCGAACAATACGGTTCCGTATTCTGTTACGACAAAGTCATTGATTTATCAGGCCATGGAATTAGCAGATATTAAGGGAGAGAAAGTTTGGGGGATGATGAATTGGTGTGATAAGTGGACTTACTATAATGCCAAAGTTTTTACGTATTGCATGAGATTTAGCTTGGTGAGGATTTTGGCCAACTATTTTGTCTGGGGGATGCTAATGGTTTATATTAAGATTTTCTTTAAAGTGCATGAGAGGAATTGATTTATGTGATGAGTGGCGAGTATATATTTGGATTCTTAAAAAATTGCCCTGTATGGTAGCGTAAACATGGTTTCAAATAAATATTGTATTCTTCATTCGAAATGGCTTTCTTAATTTTCATATTTCATATGCACGAGAATTTACTTAACTCACCATAGGTCTGATGTTTTTCGTACACACGTAACATTAAAATTTGAAAATTGCAATGTCCAAGTTCGACCAGTAAGTAAATATTCAATAGTCAATGTCATTTGACTTTCAGCGACCAACCCATCCACAGATTTTATTGGTCTACCGACTAGAGCAAACGATTTCTCGTAGTAAATTGGATGGCGTTCAATATTTTTAATTACACAAGTGTATTTAGTATAAAAAAATTAAGAGTTCTTAATCAGAAAACTTATCCGTAGTTTATATTCACAGTTACGATAAGTAAATTTACATATGCACATAACTGATAAATTATGTAACGCAAAAATCGTGATTTTCCAGACCCTCCCTCCCTCCCCCCTTTAACGTGTGTGACACATAGGCACGATATCATTGGAGCCTTGGACCCCCGCTACCCCGTCTTGCATTTCTTAATTTATGGACGGCCCTTTATGAATTCAGCAGAACTACTTATGTATGTATGTACATATGCACTTGCTCTATTTAAACACGGCTTGGAACATAATCTGCATAGGTACATATGTATACACATATTGCATACACGCCTAAATGCAAATATGTATGTATACCTACAAACGGTTTGGATATAAACAATGTATAGGTAAATTTATGTACATACATAGTACGTACGCATTTACATAAATACGTTGAATCAGTCTTATGGGCAGCTTTCTCTTTTCCGTCTATATTAAGATGTCAGATTCTCCATCGTCTTGGGCATGGGCAGCTGAAAAATCATTATTTTTCCATATTTATATAAAATATATTAAAAAAGGCAATCGTATAAATTGATTTGGTTTCTAATTGTAAGTGAACTTGCTCAATAACTTTTTCAGTTTAGCATTCAGTTATATGTACATGGAATAATTATTAATTACGTATGTACTCTAATCCTTATCTAGATGGAATCCAGCAATCCAAGTAATACTTCTGACATGGTTAACCCACAACTACCAAGTAAACTTCCAAAATTGGAGGATGACGATAAAATCAAACCAAAATTACTGCAATACCTTGACCAATTCTCGACCGATGTTAGGTCTGGGAAATTTGTCACTGAATTCAAAATGCAAAATATCCCGACCATTGAGCTGAAAGTTATTGAGGTGAGCAAATTTGGTTACGATTTTAGTTAAGTATTTAAATTTTGCCGTAATTTGGTATGATAATATCATAATGATATGCATTGTTGAATGCAGACCGGAGAATTGTTGAAGTTCCCATTACCACCAGTTCCTATTGAGATCGAGGAATTAGCGGCGTCAGAGCTTGAGGTAAATATACATATGTATGTAATTTCTATAAATTACTCACAAGGGAACCTTTCGAAATGTCATTTGAGTTTAGGGTTTTCGCCGTATGATGAAACTTGTGGCGCGAGTAGTATTGGTGCTTCGATTTGGACGGATTTTGGCACTAAGTACGTCATGACAGGCGTCCTAAAGCGTCGAAAACCGTCCAAAATAATTTAGGAGGTCCAAAATGTCCAAATAGAAACACTGGAAAATGGGACAAATGATACGCGTTCTACAATAACGTCTTTTTTCAAATATTTATGTACACACAGATCTCCCAATGATTTTGGACATTTTGACATAAGATTACGATATCTATTTGGAGTTTTGGATACTTGTTTAACATGTTGTCTTACTAAAAATTAAGAAAATTTCGAAACAATGGCTTTCCATATCAAAATACTCAAAATAAATGAGGACAATGGGATATATGTATATTATGTACAGTACATATTTATGTAGAAAGGTTCAAGTAGATACGAACAACTTGTAATATTTTGACCCATTTCCCACTTTAGATATTTTTCGTAAATTTGGTCTCAAAAAAAGGTTAAAATCGGGTTTTAACCATTTATCTGAACAGTGATTAAAATCGTGTCCTTCACTCAATTTCCTCAGTTGGCCATCATCATTCCTCATTTTGCCCTAATTCTTTTGCAGATAATAAACATCCAAGATTGGCTAAAAGTGGAGGAAGCAATCCCACCCGGAGTCAAGGATAAATTCGGTTTGGACTCTTACCAGATATCCGTTTCTTTACAAAAGTTGCTTATCCAAACACCTGGTGACCGATTTCCCCCAAATCTGGACGACTTTTGCAACCAACCTAACGAAGAATCTCTCACGAAAAAGCGTTTTGGTCACCTCGTCATCCAACTGCCGTCACTCTACACCGGAGGAGACTTCTGCTTCACACATGAAGACGAATCGCAAATATACGACCTATCAACCGCAAATGGGAATGTCACATGTCTAATTTTCTTCACCAAGATTGAGCATGCCCATTGCGAAATCTTGACGGGGATTAGGTCCTGCCTAATCTACAATTTGGTCGTAGAATCTAACGAATCTGACTTTAAACTACCACAAGCTCCCACCCTCAAAAATATTGCGCCTCCCCTTTCTCAAATAATTTTAGAATGGAGGTTATCTCCTAATCCGCCCAGACTCTTGATACTGAAAGGAGCACACAAAAAACTCACCTTCTCCGGTATCAATGGTCTCGCGAACACACTCGGTCCCATCCTTCGGGCCAATGGGGTCACCCTGTTTCACGGAACTTTCGCTCAAATAGGTGCATCACTTCAAGAATTCGAAATTGACGCGATTCCCTACATTCGACAGATAAAGTTATTGGCAAGTCCCGACATTCTGGTGGAAAACGCTTTTAGCAGCTTCTATTCCAACGAACGAATCAATCTGGATGATTCTGATTCTGATTCTGAGGACGATAGAGGGCTCAATTTTGACCTTGCGATAGACCAACGCGAACAAGACGATGATTGTGATGTGGACATATATCTCTTTTTCCGGTCAAGTGATACCCCTGGGGGTGAGGGGGAAGATATTTTCGAAAATGAGGGCTGGGTCAAAGACTTCGAATTTTGGAGGTTTCATAGCCACTTATTCCTGATGAGGTGTCACTATTCGGTAGACAGTTCCGAACTTTTTCACGCTGCTAAGTCCTTGCTATCTCTGGATATTCATGAGGAGTCCGACGAGGGGGACGATTGTTTTCAAAATTTTGCCCATTTCAAGGAATTGCTAGATATATATATGATGCTAGAAGACTCGGAAATTTTGCAAGAATTTTTGCAACTTTGCGTACAGAAGTCCGACTTCAATGTGTTGTTTGGCATTCTTTTAAAATCTGGGGTAGAAATGGGCATGTTGAAGGCATCTTTGCGAGAATTTTTCGACCTGCAGGGAACCCAAAGTGAGGATGACTTTCACAGAAAAATTGAAAAATATTGCCTCCATATCAGAAGTTTTGATTTTTCAGTGGACAAGGACCGAGAAAAAATTTACTTTGACGCATTTTCTGCATTACTTGAAAAGTATAAAGAATTGCAAAACGCTGACAAATTTTCCGCCAAAACAGAAATAGCCGTGGTTACGGAGTTTTTTAAAATTTCGGAAGTTTGGAAGTACAATATGCTTAACTTTGTAGGATCGAGGTCTCCCGAATTCGCGAAACAGGTGCTGTTTTATTGCACATGTAATAGCCTAGGAGGACTGGAAGCGGGATGGGTGCGATTCGTCACCGAGCTGTATTGTAGTACAAAATTATTGGAAAACTGGATCAATGAGGGGGAACATGGTCCAGAGGAGGAAACATTTTTATATATTTTTTTCATGATAGTGGAGAAAGTTGGGGCAGACATTAGGGGGCTTTTAAGTGATGTAAGGAGATATAAACGTCTCGTAAGGGTATTATCACACCTTGCAAATTCTCAGAATGTGGGCAATCCGGAAGGTGAAAATGAGGGTAAAAAACCCGGAGTCCTTGGCAAGTTTTGGGTTCCGTTTGCTACAAGTTTGAAAGCTAGGATTGAAGCTGTCCTGTACTCCGATGAGGACAATGAATATCACGAATATTATGAGAGGGTGTCGAATAAATCTGAAGCTTCGGGTGAATTAGTCCTGGGGACGGACACGCTGGACGAGATAAATAAATTGTTGAATATTGTGGAGAATGACTAAAGGTGTATGTAGAAAAAGTGTACATTTGTTGGAATTATGGAAATATTTGTAAGTGTCAATTAGGCTTAGGAATTTGCACACTCAAAATTAAATTAAGTAAAATTGCTCAAGCTTGAGAAAAAAATATGACACGACCAAGATATTAAATTTATTATGCGACAGGTGTACAAAGTCGTATAAAATTCGTCCAACGGGTTGATAAATTTAGTAAAAAGGGGGATATGTTTTAACTTTTAGTTGTTTTCTTGTTCATTCGAGTTTGAGTAAATTTGTGTTATTTTTATTTACAATGAAATGTTCCACTACTTCTACTACCAAGATATGTACGACTCTACCGCCATGGTTATAAATTTGTCAACACTCGTAACAAAGTTATAACCGGTGGGTGAGGAGTTCATAACCGCAGCGGTAGAGACCTAAGTATATCTCTATATATCTACTTTCTTATTTTCAGCGTACACATAGTGTGTAACGCCGGGTTTAGACTTCACGTTAGCATCACGTTCTCCTCCCAATCCGATTTTTTGATTGGTCGAAATTTTTAATTGTCTTAGTGATATTTTTGATTAGCCAATCAAAAAATCGGATTGGGAGGAGAACGTGATGCTAACGTGAAGTCTAAACCTGGGGTAAGAAATATTTTTTTAGGTTATGGATTGTCCAACTAAATACTTATTGTTGATCTACGATTATCATACATACTATCAATCCACGCCAAGTTGAACCCGGAGATATGGGAGACTAAACTCAGTTCAACGTTAATAAGCATGGGCCGGGATTTAGTCTTCCATATCTCCGGGTTCAACTTTCCGTGGATAGACTATGCATACATACTTAATTCGTAATAGTGCCTGTTCTTGAAAGTATTTTGTGAAATAGTATGTATTTTGTTGTTAGAAATAAACTTTTGAAGAATTGTATAGCCTCCGAAGTATGAATTAAAAATTTTACTTTTTTATTATATGTACATATGGGGTGCTTAATAAGTATACGGAATTTTTTCATACGCATATATCTAAGGGATATCAGTTTGCCCCAAATTTGAAAAGACCGTGGTCGTGTAGCACATACATCCATCGACTAAAACTCGAAAACCGGATGTCGATATCTCTTACCGTTCAAAAATGAGGTCAAAAACCAGCGAGCAACTCGTAAAAGCTTTCCGCCACTACCTCAAAAAAGTGGTCACGCGCTCTAAGAAATTGCGCTGTAGCCACTTTAAAAATTGACTAGATCAAAAATCAAAAATTTGTTATACACTACTGAGGTATGAGCTACAAAAAACTGCTAATTTCAAAAAAATTTCTGGTCGACCCATTCGTATATCAGCACCCAAAGTGATAAGATTCGTAAAAATGGAAATCTGCAGTGTCTAACAAGGGACACTCACGACCTGTCGTTTGAGTCCAGGGTACCCACTATGTTTTTTTAGAATCTACTAGGACCCCAGATGAAGGATCCATTCATATTTCCGTGTAAAACTCATATTTGGCGCCATGGCGTGGCGCCAAACTTAAAAATTTGCATTTTCGACCAACTTCAAACCCTCATAACTTTTGCAGTTTATGTCGGATTTTCAAAATTTTATGCTTAAAATGATCACAAAAGTCGAAATTTTTGACAAAAAAATAAAAATAACAAATTTCTAATTTTTGCAATATTTTTAGGATTTTTTCGACGAACCCCCATTTCGAAGAAAATTACGAAATTTTGCGAAAAGTTAAAAGCAATAATTTTAGAAAAAATTTCATGGAATAAGAAAGTTGAACTCCTTGTCATGATTTTTGCCAAAAATTTTGAAAATCCGTCCAGGATTTCAAAAGTTATGGCGGTTTCAAAAATAAAAACATTCAATTTTGGCGAATTTGGCGCCACGCCACGTCGCCAAATATGAGTTTTACACGGAAATATGAATGAATCCTTCATCTGGGGTCCTAGTAGATTCTAAAAAACATGGTGGGTACCCTGGACTCAAACGACACGTCGTGAGTGTCCCTTGTAAGCGTAATTCGATTACGTACTTGAAGTTATCACCCAACATGATACATTATTTTAAAGCTTAGAACTTGGACATTAAGTCCTATAAGGTTTTATAACCCTACAAATACAGTGAAGTGTAAAATAAAAGTAACAAACCAGATGACAGAAAAAGGACTCGACCTGAAGTCATCAAAATTGATCGTCCCGTACAACACGATTTACAGTCAAGATCATCAAAATGAGTTTATTTGCACATAGCACAAGTCTCCCACCTACAAGAAAACTATATAAACTAAACTTGAAAATAAACCTAAGCAAAATTATCCCGATCCGCCTGAAAACGGATCAAATGCAATTAACATGGGAGAGGTGAACAACGTTCCCAAATTTGCCCCAAAGAAGACCAATTGAAGAATTTTTGTTTTTATCCAGTGAAGAATATCATAGTCGAAAAAGTTCAGCCAAAAATTTGAACTTATTTCATAAAGTGTGGTCTATAATGGCAGAAAAGTTAGCCCAAAACAGTGGCGAAGCACTTTTTGGAGCGTCTGACAAAAGCTTCTACAGATTGGGCGGAAGGGGGTGCATGAACCATTTGAAGCAAAAAATAATTAGTTTCAATCTTTGTCTCTCCCTGACCAAAATTTCAGTTATATAAAATTATTGGTTTATTTTATATTTGCATATGCCAAAATTCCGGATACTTCTTAAGCACCCCATACAATAATGTTGTAATTAATTTGTTAAATTCTTTCGTTACTTCCATCGACATTTGTACCGTGCATATACAGATATTTACGTATGTGGTTAATTAAGATGGATTATGTAGTTTCCTCTGAAACATTGAAGTACACTTGGGATCATAATTATTCGACTAGGTTTTAATCTGGTTTATGTATGTACCTCGAAAAATGTCCTTGAATTGTTTTTGGTTAGGCTATCATTAATGCGGGTGTTTTGTTTTTTCACCGACGGGAGATTAGTAAAATCTTCATGTTCCAAACAGAAGTGGTTATTTTAAAAAAATGATCATTTCTACCAGGTAGCTTAGATTCTTTTAAAACATGAAAGAATCGAATTTGAAAATTTATAAATCCCTACATTTCATCGCATATGGGAAATATCGGCACACCTGATGGAAATACTGACGTTCATATCGTTCGATATATTTCCAGGAATCACTGGACTTGATAATTACCATTCTGACCTTCGGAAATGGATTAATTTCAACATGACAAGGTGGTAAAAGTGGGAACATTGTACAAAAATATGAACCCATGACACGGGAATCGTAATAGAATAACTTGACAATTTGTAGCTTTGGGTAGAACTTTTGCTCACAAGCTTCTTCAAATGTTATGTCTGGAAGCTGGTGGGAAGTATGTTGAGGTTGAACCCAATCGGCCTCCAAGCTCTTTAAGACATCTTTTTCTGGTCTCGATTGTCATATTAGAGACGTGTCACAACAGTTTATCGTGAAGATGTCTGTATGTTATCTCTACCCTTACGTCATTAAATACATATCTCAAGGATGTCCAATGAGAGGCAAATTATTAAACCCCCATAATTATAGGTCTTAACGATATCTCATGACGACAAACTCAAAATCACATGACATGTTTGCGCGATTCTGCACTAAACAAGTGGCATCTACGCAATTTCGGTCGCCATGACAAAAATTAAATATCACCTATCCAAGCGACAATTTAGGCGTCGAGTGAGTCAAAGGGTAAGTGCAGTAATTAATGCACTTCGTCAACCTAAGGGGAAAAATATTGTACTGTCACAAGTTGGTCTACCAACTTCTGACCATGGTCATATTTCCGAATTGACATTGAATTTTAATACCAGTGATGAGTGGTCCACTACTGAAATAACATTAAATACGACGTCAACTAAAGCAATCAAAGTCAGTGTGCAAAAAAATACAGGCACCACCGAAGATATTAAAGAGCAATTGAGAATCTGGTCACTCAATAATAAAGTATCACAAATTGCGACAAGTGAATTATTAAAAATTTTAAAAAGCCACGAGTGTTTTCGGACGTTGCCTGCTGATTCCAGAAGTTTGAGAAAAACTCAGCGTGTCTTTCAGTCAAGAATCGTGAAACCAGGAAATTACGTTCATCTAGGGTTTACGAATGGACTAACAGCAGAAATAAGCAAATTAGAAAATATTCCCAAAGTGATTAGTGTCCTCGTTAATGTAGATGGAATTCCAATTTCGAACAGCAGCAAAAGTGAATTTTGGCCTGTTTTATGTATGCTCGATTCGCCTAGTTTTGTAAAAAAACCATTTTGTGTCGGAATTTACCACGGGGTTGGGAAGCCAGAAAATCAAAATGAGTTTTTGACCGACTTCGTCGCTGAAGTGAAACAACTCCAGACAAGCGGATTCGATTATCAAGGACAAAAAATAGGATTTGAAATAAAGGGTTTCATTTGTGATTCTCCAGCGCGTGCATTTATTACATGCACAAAATACCACGCTGGTTATTCATCGTGCGGAAAGTGTACACAAGTTGGCGAAAGGTATCAAAATCGAACGGTATTTTCGAGCAAGCTTGCAAGTAAACGAACAGGAGATAGTTTTAGTAATCAGGTTGATGAGGACCATCATCGAGGGACAACGATTTTATCAGAGCTGAAGCTTGACTTAGTCCAAAAGGTTCCTTTCGAGTTCATGCACCTTATCTGTCTTGGTGTAACAAGAAAACTTTTGAATCTTTGGGTGTTTGGTAAACCAAAGTACCATAAATTTAGTGGACATGTAATCAGCAATTTATCCCGTGATCTGGTTAAACAGAGATTTCTTACGCCAAGTGAATTCAATCGTAAACCACGCTCACTTATTGAGCTTGCAAGGTGGAAGGCAACGGAGTACAGACAATTTCTCTTGTATATTGGACCCGTAATTTTACAGAATTATATCCCAGCGAAATATTTTTACCATTTTACTTCCCTGCACTTGGCTGTGTTCATTTTATCAAACGACGAGCTATTAAATCGGCACAGGAAATACGCTAACAGCTTACTTGAATTTTTTGTACAACAATTCACATCTCTGTATGGGAAGGAAAATTTGTCATACAACATCCACGGGCTTTTACACGTCGAGGATGACGTGAAAAATTTTGGAAATCTGAATCGATACTCTGCATTTCCTTTCGAGAATCATTTGGGTCAGATTAAGAATTTAGTCAAAGGGGGCAACAGGCCACTTTCTCAAGTCTGCCGAAGAATCTGTGAGCGGGAAAGGTATAGAGGAACGCCATCCACACAGAGAAATAAAAACGTGAATCAGTCACGAAACTTCGCCCCGTTGCTACCAGGACTAATTTCCCCTCAATATCAAAAAATTACATTTGGCTCCTCATTCCTCCAAAGTGACAGTAAAAATTGTTACTGCTTGTTAAAAACTGGCGAGCTCATAAAAATTGTTAACTTTGCTACGAGAGAAAATGACCAATCATTGTGTGTAGTGGGAAGACTTTGCCGTGATTTATTGCCACTTTATACTGTGCCTTGTGACTCAAGAGAGTTTGGAATTTACAAATTTAAAAGACTCGGTGATTTGAAAGTGTGGGAAGCAGGTATCATAAGTCAAAAATATTTTGTTGTTCGTGAGGGAGGCAATTCGTTTGGAGCCTTTCCGCTGTATATATAATGGAATTTGCCGTCGTTGAGTTTATCAAAACCAAACAAGTTGCAGTTATCCCTGTCCAATGGATTTCGAAGGACCTGACAAAAGGATGGTGGCCGCCATATATGTCAAGTACAAAAATAACGACATCCGTTGCAAGAAAACAACCTGTGGACAGTAAAAATTGGAGACAGCACGAAATTCGAATCTTCAAACAATTTTGTAAGTTGTAAATTCATTACAAGAAAATAGTAGAATTTTTTATTACTATGATTAGCTGAATTTTATTTTATTTTCTAAAT